ATAAGGCAAGGCCAGGCACAGTGTAATCCCAGTACTTTGGAAGGCTGAGGCAGGGAGATGGCCTGAGGTCAGGAGTTTGAGATCAGCCTAGGAAGCATGGTGAAACTCCATCTCTAATAATACAAAAATTAGCCAAGCGTGGTGGCAGCCGCCTGTAATCCCAGCTACTCGGGAGGCTGAGGTAGAATAATCACTTGAACCCAGGAGGCGAAGGTTGCAGTGAGCCAAGGTCACACCATTGGACTCCAGCCTGGGACAACAAGAAAAAAACTACATTTAAAAAAATAAATCAATAAAAAAGGAAGAAGGTAGAAGGATGGGTTTTCTTCCTTCCATATTAAGGAGGCTAGCTTCACTGCCAGAACTTTCCCAGACCTGGCATAATGCAGTCACATGTCTTGTTTTTGCATTCAGAATATTGTCTTTTCATAGTCCTTCAGAATATGTTAAGGGGGTTTCACTATATATCACAAACCATGGTTTAAATTTCAAAGCATTAGATAAAAATGACCTTACACTGCATTTGTAGATGTCACTCTCAAACCATCCCAATGTAGTTTCCATGGGAACTAATATACATCAAAGGAGAAAGAGAGAGAAAGAGAGACTGTAAGATCAAATTTTTAGTTCCTGCCTCCTCTTTCTTTGGGAAAACCAAAATGAGCCCCATATTAAATGCTGATGAAATTAGATACTGAACCTTATCTTCTATGTGAATGCAGCTTTTTTTTTCCTCCTAAGAAAGAGTACTGCCTACATGGTCATGCAAAATTTTTCCAAAGAGTCCATCCGTATAATTTATAAGTTGTATTTACATCCTTAGAAGGCACATGTGCTTATTTAGGAGGAGTGTCAACATCATCCATTATTACTGTTGTTTTGAAGTTGCTTTCAGAATTATTATGATTACACAGATTAAAACTTGTTGAGAATCCACTCTATGGCAACCATGAGTGAAAGCGGTTCATGAATGAAAGTTTGTAGTCACATAAGAACACATTTCAATATTGTGTTCTGTTGGTACAGTGCCTTTCATAGTCATATGCCAGACAGTATAACGTGAGTAGTTGTCATTAGCTTCCCATCCAAAAAGAACAGTTACCAAACAGCATTGTTAAAAAGAGCAGGTTACAGCTATTATTCTTAAATCCAATACCACATATCATGGCCAACTTTATCTACCTCTGTTTCATAGGACTCACCTGGGCTATAAAATACATTCAATACTTTAATCGGGTGATGGTTGGAGAGAGGCAATGATATATTATATTCTCAATTATAATTGAGAATGGTGATATAAAATGTGTTTGTAGCCTGTAGACAATTAATTAGAAAAATAGTTGATCACGTGGCTTAAAATAACAATTAATTTAAAAACTCAAAATAAAAGTTTTAGAAAAGATAAACAATAGTATTATATATCTTAATATATAATTATAAATATTTATTAGATAGAATAAACATTGTAAGTACTATTATACTATATTTATAATAATATAGAGTATATAGTATTATATTTGTAATATAATATGCATATTAATTATATTTATATTATTATATATTTATGTATAAATATATAATATATTATAATAAATAAATGTAATAACTATTATATTTATACTTATAATATTAGTTATAAAGAAAATATGACAAATATTAACCATTTAATTTGTATTAGTCATTACCCCATGGATTGTTCTTTTATCTAATACATTTTATTCTAATAACTCTGTTAATTAGGAATTTATGTTGCCATCCAGCAGATCAAGACACCGAAGCACAGGAAGCTCAAATAAAGGACTGAAAAAAATCTCGTAACTTCTAAGAGAATCAGGCAGTTTCCAAAACCTGCCTTCTTAGCTATTTATTATGCTATAAATATCTGAACAAATTATTTATATTGACAAATAACTATCAAGTTTCTAGAACTTATGAAGAATATGATGAAGAAAAAACTATTTGCAACATTAATTACCAAATCATTTATTCCTTTCTGGAATCATTTATTCAATATCATTTATTTGCAGATAGTAGGTACCAGGCATTGGGAAATTCAGAATGAATAAGAAAATGGAATAAACAAAGGGTTATGAAAAAACCTCAGATGGGTTATTCATTTTAAAAAAGAATGGCATGTAGGTGAAAATAAGCAAAAAAAATACACAACGCCTTGAACGTTTTAACATAGTGAGCAGGTCACACCCAGCCAGGTCCATGAGGGTGGATGACAAGGCATGCTGGAAAGGAACATGGGAAGTATCTGAAATGAAAAGGACCTGAAATGCAATTCTAAAGGTTTCATCTAAAAGAAATGGCGACTTGGCAGATGTTTTTTAAATTCAAGTGTAAATAATCTGATAAGTATCTTAGAAAGCTGACTGGATGATATAAAGCGGGTGGATTAGAGAGAGAAAATAATGGGTGGCAGGGAGATCTATGAGGGTTTTCGTGATGGTTTGAATGGTGTCTTCCCTGGAGATATGTTGAAGCCCTAACTTTTGGTAGCTGTGAATGTGGCTTCATTTGGAAATAGGATCTTTGCAGATGTAATCTAGTTAAGATGGGTTCATTAAGGTGGGCCCTAATTAAATATGACTGTTTTCCTTATTTAAAAAAAGGGAAAAACAGAGAAACAGGGAGAATACCATATAACAATGAAGGTAGAAATTGGGGTTACATAGCTAGAGCCCAGGGAATGAAAGGCTTGCCAGCAGCACCACTGCCAAGAGAGAGGCACAGAACAGATTCTCCCACAGAACCTTTAGAGGAGGAAGTATGGCCCTGTCAACACCTTTTCTGAGTTCTAGCCTCCAGAACCGTGAAAGAATAAATTTCAACTTACAGTACTTTTTACATGACAGCCCAAGGAAACTAATACAAGTATTAGTGGGATACTTCTTCAACAAATAGTGCTTGAATTAAGGCAGTGGCAGTCAAAGTGGAGAGGAGGAGGTATGTGGTAGACCACGGCTATATTTTCTAAAGGACAAAGGAAGCAATGAGTCATAGAAACAGAATGATGGAGCCACAAGGAATGCCCTAAATGGTGACAGGATACATGCTTGAATGTTAATGGGCCCCATTTCCACAAGCCTCCAAATCTCCTTCTACTTCCCAATCAGAGATGGGAGGATTGGTTAAGAAGAAAGGCCCTTTGAGAGCATAGGTCTCTCCACCAGCCAGTCTAGTCCTAAGAGTTCTGAAGGCCAATCTTGGAGGTGGTTTAGGAGGGAAAATGCAGGACCCAGAATTTCAGTTGCCAAGCCGGAGAGCAGGGGACCCAGGAATGAAGATTGGCATTCATTTTATTTTTCCATCTTCTGATATAATTCTCACATTTTAGCAGCATGTCAAAGAATGTATTAGAAGTGAGAAACCAGAAACAATAAGTCTAACCTAGTCATTCTATAATTGGGAGGTAATAGAAAAGAGAGAAATGGGAAAGTTGCTCAAATGCAAGGCCAGCGAATCAGAGAGAAAAGACTCAAAGCAGCAGAACAAAGCTTCAATAAAGAGATATTGTGACTTGGAGAGATGGCCTTTTGTCCTTTGTTCTATTACTGGTCAGAGGATGGGGAGCACACCTGAGCCTGAGACAACAGCTCTGCTAAGTGCCCTTGAGAGGGCACGGTGGGGTCAGCACCAAAGCCAGACCACTAAAGAGAAAAAGAAAGAGAGGATTGCAGAGGAGAAATGAGAATGGCAGAAAAAACAATTTTTTAAACCAAAAGGAATCAGAGAAGAGCAGAAGTGCCTCCAGGATAAAGCATAGCAGGCAGTTAGGGAAAAAGGGCTGTTAACTACTTTGAAGTTCTGACTACATTAGATGGCCTCACAAGACAGTCCTTGCTTGCACGAGCAGGTAGAGAACTTTTCCTGTCTATTGTTCTTCTGAATTATAAATCACTGACCTCTTTATGATTTCTAAAGGGAAAATGACTTCAAGCTTCTTAGAGTTCCCCTAAGGCATTCTCTATACTCCATATAATATGGAAGCCCTGGGTTTGTCTTTGTGCATTTCATCTGCAGTGACCTGAAGTCTTCATAACCCTCTTCCTTTTTCTACTTACCAAGGGGTGGTTGGCAATAAACCCAGAATTTAGGAAGACAGCATTTAAACCATTGGACTGTATGTTCTGTGGCACTGAAGACTGACAACATTCTAAAGGTAAATGTAACCATGCATCATTTTGGGATTCTCAGATATTTTGTACAATCTATTTTATTCCTCCAAACATGGAGACTATAAAGCTGTGTGGAAATTAATTCATTCAACAAACAGGTGATAAGCGCTTATCATGACAACCACATCATAACAGCTAACCTGTTGAATGATTATCACACATCAACTACCATACTGAGTGCTTTGCATGGTTTATGTCATTTAAATATCACAAATAATACTATGAAATAGGTGCTCTTGTTATGTCCATTGACAGATGAAGAAACTGAGGCCCAAGTCTCATACCTAAAATGTGGCAGAGCCAAGTTAGAACTCAGGTAATATTACTAAGAAGGCCATGGACTAAACCTCTTTATAACATATCCCTGTATTATATCTGCACTGGGCATAGAAGATTCAAGGGTTACAGGGTTTCACAGAAAGGAAGGGTTGACGAGGGTTAGTTAGGACGAGCTTTAGGCAAAAGTGATACATGATCTTAGCCTTGAAGAACAGGCAGATTTGAGTCAGCAGAGACTGAAATCAAGGGTTCCCAGGTAAGGAATGGGAAAGCATGGGAGTGTAGTCTGAAGTCACCGTAAGACACAGGCATTGTAGCTAATGAGGAGACAATTTTGACCAGAATGGTGGCCTATGAGCAGTAAAAGAAGTCTGAGAAATCTGAGTTAGTTACTGGGGAGAAGCGTCTGACATGTTGGAAAATAGAAAATCATGGTCGCTTTCTTAGTCTAACCAAAGTGTTGAAGGTAACAGCAATGGTACACAGGATAAATTACACCTAACAGAAAGCCTGGAACCCAAGGATTTCAGCTAGGGTTTGTAGAAAGATGGAACCATATGAAAGGTGTTCTAAAGGAAAAGTGATAGGATTTATTCTCTGCAACATATTGAAATAAAGTATACGAACTGATTATACCAACAATAACTAACTTTATTGAGCAGATATTGTGTCCTATAGTGGTTTGCATGTAATCATGGATTAATTCTCATAATAGCACCATGATTCAGAATTAAACTAAGGCCTGTTCTAATCCTAGGATATCTTTAGTTACCTATTGAAGATAACGAGAACACTAATTCTTTTAATAATGTAGCATTATGGGGGAATTATACCATTGACAGGAGTGAAATAGTTTGGAAATTTAGGAGCAGAAAATGACAATTCTTACTGAAGGCAAGTAAATCATTCAGGGGCAGTGTAACTCATTAGGTAATAATAACTATTGTTATTATTATTTATTTTGCTTTGAATATGAATCAAGATCTCCCACAGATACCAAAATCTGTGGTTGCTCAAGTCCATGATGTAAATTAGCCTACCTTGACTACCCTTCTCTTTATAATTATAATAATTATTATTACCACTAATTACTGCATGCTTATTATGTACCAATGTTCTAAACATTTCACATGCCATAGCTCAGTTAAGATAGTAATAATTATAGTGTTCACTATTACAATAGTAAGAGTTTATATTTACAGTGCTGATAGTGTTCCAGACACTGATATGTTTTTAAATAGATTAACACATTTAATTACAAAAAACAAATGAAGTAGATATTAATATTTTGCCTTCCCTTTACATTTGAGGACACTCTGGTCCAGAAAATTTAAGTAACTTAACCAAGATCACAAAACTAATGATTGGTAGAGTCAAGAGTGAGCCCAGACTCTCTGGCTGTAGATTCTTTCTCTTAACAACTGATCTACAAGATCATGAGCTTTGGAGTCAGGCAGGTCTGGATTGCAATCCCAGCCTTGTTAACTTACTACTAGTGAGAACTTGAGTATGCTCCTTTTGTGTGTCTAAGTCTCAGTTTTTCCATACGCAAACATAACAATAACAATAGTACTTTTCATGCAATAATTCCTATGAAGATTAAGCTCTGCCACCCTTCTCTGTGCTTATCACAGTGCTTCAAAACAGAAAGTCTTCAATGTGTGTTTTACTAATGAATAAATGAATAAAGCACTTATCATCCATGATGTGCAGTTAACATTTTATTGTATGCTACTTTGTATTATTTAACTTTTCTGTGCATGTACTTTTTTTGTCAATCCAGCTAGGCTATAGCATCCTAGGAGTAAGCCACATGCTTTTTACTTAATAGGTGTCCTAGCTCTCTGAACTATGTGCACATAGAAAGCTTCTCAATAGCAATGACTCCTATGAATGAAGCATTCACTATGGCGCAGACATTGTGTTAAGTATTTAGTGTTCATAGCAACCCTAGATAGTAAGTACTAATGTTAATTCCAATTTACAGAATAGGAAAGTATGCCTTAGTGAGCTAGTGATTTTCCAATAGTCACACAATTAGGCCATACAGAGTCAGGGATTAGATTGAGCTTTACTTATCTATAGAAGTCCTGGGCTTAGCCACCATGCAATACTAGATTGTTAAAGCCCTGATTGTGGGTAATTAAGATGTCAGGGCCCATTATCACCTGCCTTTGGAAGGAAATTTCCTGCAGCTGAAGTTCTTGTCTATTTGGCCGACTTGGCTCAACCACCTAGTTCACAGCTTTTCTGTGGATTTCTCCTCTTAGCACTTCCTCAACAGGCAAAACCCACATAACCAAGTCAGGGATGCCACAAATAGTGACTGATGCTGTAGCTGGCCCGTGGAGCACCGAGGCTGGGACACTCATGAGCGCCCTCTGTCATCTCAGTATATTATGGCTTCAGCATTCTCTTTGCTTAACAACCTCTGGCTGATCCACTGTGAAAATTGTGTGCAATAGTCTTCAACATTTCTAATTTCATACCTGTGGTGAAGTAACCTTGTGGCTGGTCGAAGAGAGCACCTTTAAAGCTCACAGTGGAAAAAACATTGGCTCTTAACCTTCTGCAGAACTGTTTTTAATGCTTCCTGCAAGCTGTTACTGGAGTCTTTATTTAGGCTGTATTTCTTCATTTCCGCATCTATGTTTAGCAGTTATATAAAGGAGCGAAATGGGTTTAATGGCCTCAAGTGGCAAAGCAGTGACATGTGGGCCTCCTTGGAGCAATGAAAGGTCAAAAGACTATGGAGGAGACTTCCTGTTTCCCGGTGACTAGGAGTCAAATTTCTTTTATCTGCCTGAGTCAAGGGGAAATGATGTTCCTTTGAAAGTCTCATCTGGTAGGTAGGGTACAACAGAGTTGGGAGGTGGAGAAGGTTCCTTAAAGGGCCATGCAGATAATAGCATCTGGTGGTTTGTCTTATTGTGGGTTATACAGACTTACATTCCCTTTCTGGAGAAGGGAGGGTTTTAATTAAAACTAAATTGATATCCACTGGGCCTGGGCATGTACATAACCTAGAAACTGTGGGATTCTCAAGGCCTCTGTATTCAGCATCTCAAGCAGTCCTACAGGTGCCAATTGATCCATCTTGGAATCACTCCCCTCTGCTCGCATGGGACTTGCCTTTCTGCCCTCCTTCCTTAGCACATTCACCAGGCTAAGTATGAGTCCTAAGTAAGGAGCCCTGGTCTGATTCCAGCTTATTTCTCTTATTGACTCTGTGATTTCAATAAGGTATTTGACTTTACAAGCTCTGTGTCTTCATCTGAAGAGGGAGGTGATAATGAAAATACCAACCTTATGAATTTATTGTGCAGAGTAGAAGGACTAAGTATATAAAATGCTTTGGATAGTCATTATATAACCTCAAAATTTAGGTTTACATACCTGATGCACAGTAAGCCAAACATTGACACATCAGCACTTAGGAGCAGAGAAAGGTTTATTCAACTTGGCCAAAGTGAGAGGGCAGGAAAGACACTCTCTCAAGTCCACCCTTCCTTTAAACCTAATCGGGGGCTTTTATGAGTCAGGTAGGTATGCAGGAGAGGAAGTGGGATACGTTGAAAAAGCTGTTTATGTCTCTTGGCCTGATCAAACTTCTGGATGCCATCAAGGAGGTTTGTGTGACCTAAGGTTCATTCTTCATTGTTTTCAAAAAAAAAAAAAAATGTTTATTAATCTTGTAGGCCAGGGGTGTAAGGATATAAAGTTAGTGACTACCTTCTACCAAAATGACTGCATGCAAGCAAGCGTGCAGGGAGGCAGATGAAGACAAGGAACAAAGAAAATTAAGTAAAACAAACATCTTATGATTCTTACAATAAAGACTCAGTTACATAATAACATTGTGCACACTAAAATCCCAATAAATGGGTACTGTTAGTACAGGCAGCTGGTGTATTTTTCCCTAGACCAATCAATCTTGCATTTCTGTTTCATGGCAGCCTGTACAAATTCTCTGAAGAAATTCTCAGCTTATTCATAGTAGAATCAAATAATCAGGTAAGAGGAAAATTTATTCATAAATTCTTAATCAAAGCTTCCTCTATGCCCACCCTGAAGCAGTATAAGCATTAAAACCATTTTATTTTTACCATCTATTAAATGGGACTAAAAATTCAATACTTCTACAGTTGTAGTATACAATTAAATCATCTTCTAAATCCAATTCTCTCTCCTTCTCTTCTCCCCTTCTCTTCTCCTTTCATAAATCCACTTCCCTACATACAACAACAAAACTTCCTTTTGATTCTGGCCCACAGCCTCCTGTGTATACCTCGTTTGTAAAGAAACTCATCTAAAGTCAACCAGCAAATGATGAGCCCTCCAACTTGGATAGCCTGTCACCAGCCCTAAGCTGCCAGGCTTCCTTTGAGTCTCTGTCATAGGTGAGGCATAGAGACTTGTGACCATTTTGCATGGCTCTATGTTGCTGAACCAGGTGGGGTGTGGTGACAAGGGGAGGGAGGGATGTGGGTCCTTTCCATCATTACAGTTATTTTTGAGTATTGTCTTTAATTTGTAAAATTTCCCATTTTAGTCTCTGCCCTAGTCTCTGAGCAGATCCCAGGCCATTGAGGAGAGTTCAGGTATGCCAGCATGTTTTGGTGTTCTTCTCATGCCAAAATAATACTTTGCCCTTTGAATTCACAGGTATTCTAATTATCATCCAGTTTTGGTACTGACCCCTCCTAAGGAGATAACAGTTGTCCCTTAGTACCCTTGAGGGCTTGGTTCCAGGACCTCCATTGGATACTAAAATCCATGGTTGCTCCAGTCCCTGAAAATGGTATAGTAATTGCATATAACCTATGCACATTCTCCCTTTTCCTGGAAATCATCTCTAGATTATTTTAATACCTAATACAATGTAAATTCTGTGTAAATATTTGTTACACTGTATTGTTTAGGGAATAATAGAAAAAAAATCTACACATGTTCTTATAGATGCAAAATTTTTGAATACTTTCAGTCCATGGTTGTTTGAACACGCCATGTAGACCCAAGGGTTACAGAGGGCTGACTGTATTTAGAAAAATGAAAGAATATTCTTTGACCACAGCAGGAGGCTACTGGCATTTGGAGATAGGGACAAAAATGTTAAATACCTTGCAATGAGAACATTAATAAACAGTGAAAAGCGTCATGCCAATGCTTCCTTCATTGAGAAAATTGCAATTAATCATACTTTTCCTCTTTCCTGTTGGAGAAATTAACCAATCCTGAGTATCTCAGAATCAGCATTCTTCAAACTCAAATTTGAGTCTTGACTACTAAATATCTATAACTGTTAAGCACTTACTTTCTCATTCAATACCTCATTTGATCTCCTAAAAGAATTACAAGCTTCTTATTATTGCCCTTACTAATCGAAAGAATAAAGTCAGAGAAAACAAAGAGTATATACCCATATTCTAATACTGAGACTAGCACAATTCTACCACCTTATGCTGCTTCTATGACATTGGTTTTATAGCATGATCTGGATTGCTAAAAATGTTCAAGTTTGGGTCTTATAACAATAGAAAGAGAACTATATAAAAATACGGCAATAAAAAATGTAACTAAAACATATTGTAAAAATAAAAACTGGAGTACCTCGATCATATATATAAAAGAGCCTTTGAAAAATGTTTAGGTGAAATTTTGTCTATGTACCTATGTTGACATCCAAAAAAACTACTTTCAATTCAAAACTCATTCCTTCTATATATTTTTCTCATATCTATTTTAATTAAAAGGCTTAACTTGAAGATTAAACTTTCATGTCCTCCTTATCTATTTGACCCTCTGGAATACTGCTGAGTAATGTGGCATTCACAAGAATACTATTGTGTCCACTTACATGATTTAAAATATATTCTCAATAGCCAAAGTGTCCTCCTGACTCTTTGAAATTCAGCCATCCTATGTTTCAGATGGCCTTTCACTCAGGTTTTTAAACCACTTTATAGACATCTCTTTATTCGCCTTTATTTTATAAATTGGGAAATAGATCAAATAGAAGTTAAGTGGCATATAGAGGTCAACGGCTGATTACTGGAAGACCCAGGGAAAGGTATCACCCTGGACTCACCTAGAGTTATCCCTCAGATAATTTAACATTTCTTCAGAAGATTGAGGTAGGCTCTGAATGTAGAAGGTAGACTAAAAGATTATTTTTTTTTTTCATGAGGCTGCCTCAAGCAGATTCACAACTAATTCTGATTCAACTGGCATCTCCTGTCTCACTGCCACAGAATATCTATATTGAAATCAGGTCGACTGTTCATCTTTTCTTTCTGTTACATCTGCTAGGGATCAATAGAGATAAAAAATATTTGGAGTTTTGTGTTCAATCACAGTTCCTGTATGCAGTTGCTTGATATAATGATTTTGTAAGGAAGCAAGTAACCAAAGCATAGTTGCAGTGTTTTTGATAAAGGACTGCTCTTTACTGGTGTCCTTCTCTCCACTACTAATTGACAAAACATCTTGAGGAAAATACCCATATATTTAAATTATTATTAAAAGCTCTACTGGCACTAAAAAAAAGACCAGTGTTTTGACAAAGATTCATATAACCACTTCGCTTTTGCAATTCCAGCTTTATGACAGGAACTATCTAGATCAAGAGTCTGCAAATGACGGTCTAGAACCAAATCCAACTGCTGTCTGTTTTTGTAAGTAAGGTTTTATTAGAATACAGTCTTGCTTGCTCATTTACATATTGTCTAGGCTGCTTTCATGCTACAATGGCACAGTTAAATAGCTGGAATAGAGACGATACGGCCTGCAAAATCTAAAACATTTACAATTTAACTATTTACATAAAAATGTGTCTACAACTGTTCTACGTTAAACAATATATCAGTCCTGGCAGATGTAGTTACCTTGAGTGTCTCATAGCATGTATGAAGTTAATTTTCAAGGTCCCAAGCTAAACTTTCCAAAAGCCATTTCTTGAGACCACACACTATAGAGTCAGATCTATCAAGTTTTTAATTCTCTGAACAGAGCTTTCGAAATGTCAAACCAGTAAAGTAGATGATGACGATTTTGCTAAAAGATCACTCCACTTGCATCAGGGGAAACAAGCTAGTGGGAATATATTTCAGGACCTCAATTTTCCATACATTGCTCTAATTACTAGAGTACCATAGATACATATCTCTGATTTAGAGTCTGCCAAGTCAAGATTTCTGAATTTCTTGGCATGTTTGGTGGTACGGTATTACCTTGATTATGGCTTCTTATATCTGGCATAAATATATTCCCTTTGTGCATATTCTTTTTAGATACAGTACAAAAAAAGCATGACTCTTCCTTTTTTCTCTCCTTTTACTTTTGAAGCAGCTGTGAAGTCATAATTATGTTCATTTCCCACTGGTAACTGGCAAACCCTTTATTTTTGTGCATTTGGAACTCACCAAGAATAAATAAAGTCCATTCCCTCCTTGAGGAGTTATTCTGCCATTTCGTCTAGGATTTAAAAGTATGCCTATTCCTACAACATCTATGGTTATAAATAGTCTTGTGTCTTTCACAAAGCAGACTTTACAAAATAAGGTAAGGGGAAAAATAGGCAAATGTCAAAAGTATATAAAAAATATCATCTTTAAGAAAGATGAACACATTTGCTAGCTCTTAAAAACTTATAATTATCACTGCTGGTAAATTGATGTTACAGATTACCCAGTTCTGACACATCATTTTCTAACACAAAGAGGTTTTTTTATCATGTTACATTGTGCTGTGCATTTAGAGACTTTTTATTTTATATTTACACATTGAAGAACTAAGGGCAGAAGTCTTGAAATATACAAGGATTTAGATAATGAATTACATCATAAATTTAGAAACTATATCAGACAATACAGATGATTCATTGTACAATTTGTAATTCTGGAAAGGCAAGTTTTGAGGACTTTTGTTTATAAATAAGCCAACTTTTCTTGACTCAAATCTGGATAAGTACCAGAAACATTAATGCACATTTCTTCAGCTGCACACAGACCTTCAAAAAGTTCTGAAATGGGGTGTGTTATTTATGTTTTATGGGAAGATGTGTTTAATGTTTGTAAATCAATTTGGATAATAACACTGATTTAAATGGAATGATACATGTATTTGCCTTTTAATGTCCATTATAATAACAATTGCCAAGAGCCTGTGAAAAATTCAACATTTACTTGTTGATTAGTCTGTTTTTGATTCACATATGCAATTAATTCTTAAATGAAGTTTGTCGGAGGCACTAGCCTCTCCTTAAAAGGCAACCCTGTTTGAAAATGTGAACAGACTATAGATTTGAGATTCTGGCTTCACACTTTGTCATGGGAAGCAACCTTGGATTTGGAATTTAATGGCTTCCTAGCTATCTGGTCTGTGAAGAAACACGTCTGAGGGGAGACAGATGTTTGTCTGAAACTCTATTGTTTAAAGAGCTGGACTCTTTCTGTAACAGCAGGTAAGAAGATCAGAAAGAAAGATTGGGAGCCCAAATGAAGGCATTAGTACTTTGTAAACATAGACCTCATGCCTCAGTCTGAGTGGATTGACAATTCTACAAAGAAAAATGTAGCAAAAGAAACTTGGGAATGAACCTAAAAGTCACAGTGTCTTAGTAAACTAAAATGAAAGTAAAGGGAGACTTTCAAAGCCCACTGCTTGTAAGATGGGCTTCTTTTTTGGATATTATTCCTTAAAGGATACCGCACACAGATGTGAACTCATGGAATTTACATTCCATAATAGATAACTTTTTGACATTCATTTGAGGTTTCCTTCCAGGAAAAATGGTTCAAGTAGCACTCTGGAATTATTTCATAATTGAGCAGCATTTTGCATGTGCCATATGCAGCCACCAAGTCTAAGGTCGTATGTTTTGCAGCCTTTCCAACCTTTCTAAAATCTCAAGTTTTCAGTATATTTAATATTATCTTTAGACAAAAAGACAGTGAAAGACAGACAGTGTCTGTCTTTTTTTGAACATAGCAAATAGTCTCTGACCCAGATGACAAGTCAACTGGCTCCTATAGCAGCTGCTGCAACCAGCAACCTAGTGAGGGCAACACCGTCAGCCACGCCACATGGGCTTTGCCCAAAGACGACACAGCCAAGAGGCAGACAAAGAAAACGTGTAAAAACCATGGCAAATAAATTAATTAAATTAACAAATTAAATAAATGAATAAAATAAAGAACAAAAGCAAATGTCAACACGCATCAATTCTCCATCCAAATTACATACCTTATGTAATTTTTGTAAGAATTTTGTAAGATTTACCTTCTTACTTCAGCAGTTGTTCTGGTTTGCAATAAAATAGTACCTGTGAGTGGTTTAATTGTAACTGCTGCCACTGCTTAAGATTTATGAATTGGAATATTACATGATAATCCACAGGATCATCTATTTCCTATCACTGAAGTTTCCCTCAGTTCTTCCTTTCATTCATTCATTTATTCAACAAGCCTCCATTGAAAGTCTGCTATACTTCACATTTTGAGTCCCCCTCCCTTAAGAATTGCAATTTATACGTGTACGAGAAAATATCATTGTTTTTACTCTTTAAAAATTATTTCATTTCTATTTTTAAAAAGATATCTTTTTTTCAGATAGATGGGCTACCCTGTACATTTTTAACTTTGACAGGTACATTCTCCAATGTTTTGTGGGAGAACTGAATTTAGCCTTTTGTTAACTACAAAAGGTCAGGTATGTGCCTCCTCAATCCTCATTTGGGATCCATAAAGTTATATAAACTTTCAAATACTCTGATATTTAATGAGCAAATCTATGTCTATTCTGTTCATAACCTTTATGACCTAACAAACACCAACCATTTTAATCTCTAAATTCCACAAATGAAGGGATCATTATCACCCACCAAAAAGCGGTTTACAAAGATTTTAACAATGCATAAACAATCTTGCTTGAAACCAATGAATTTTTATAATCTCTCTCTCTTTTTTAATTTTTGCCATTATTTGTTAAAGAAAGTGACTTTATTCGATTGCGTCTTCATGTAATGAGTTGTCTGTGAGCTTTACTGTTTAGTCCTCGGAAGAATGTTACTAGAAATTCAATTGCATTTTCTTCTGAAAGAAGGTTACAGCGTGTGACTTCATGGGTGGAAGTATGTTATGGCTGAAGAGCCTATATTTCATTCATACTACAATACAGCCAAGTTATATTGGTATATATATTCCTTGGCCATTGAAACAGAGTGTTAAACAATATTTTTCTTTTGTCTAAGATACAATGAGTTAAGCTGTCATTAAAAAAATAATTGAGAATCAGAAAAGAAAAATCAGAGCAAAGCAAGCAGTCAAAGTCTAGCACAAGGCAAAATGTTGCTATTTTTAAAAGGGCAACTTCCTAAGATAACTGGTTTGTTCTTTGCTTAAAATAGTCATTGAGGGATATACAATTGGGACCAGAAAAAAGGGAAGCCAGAATCATTCATTAGGTACATACTTTGTGTGAGTTATAAACAGTGCCTTTCAACATTAAGTAAGAGAACCTCCAGGAGGAGATCAGACTTGAGGAAACAAGCTCAGAAAAGCTAAGAATCTGGCCCATAGGCCAGGCACAGTAGCTCACGCCTGTAATCCCAGAACTCTGGGAGGCTGGGGTGGGCAGATCACCAGGTCAGGAGTTTGAGACTAGCCTGACCAACATGGTGAAACCCCATCTCTACTAAAAATACAAAAATTAGCCGGGCATGGTGGCGTGTGCCTATAATCCCAGCCACTCAGGAGGCTGAGGCAGGAGAATTGCTTGAACCCAGAAGGCGGAGGTGGCAGTGAGCCAAGATCTCACCATTGCACTCCACCCTGGGCAAAAGAGCAAGACTCTGTCTCAAAAAGTAAAAAAGAATCTGCCTATAGTCATCTATGCAGTAAGAATACACCATGACTATTACAGCTAACATATCTTTTTAAATGGCAGGCATTTTGTATTTTAATTCTTAGAACACATTAGAGAACTGAGATTTAGAGCAGCCCTCTCTTCTGCCTAAAATCACTCCAGATCTGGTCATTTAATCTCTTTGGCATTCCACTTGTTCACACAAAACCAAACTAACAAGTTTTTCTGCTGGTATGTTCTTTAGCAAAAACGTAGTCATCAGACATTACTGTGCTTGTTGCCAGTATTTTTCTTTTCTTTTCTTTTTTCTTTTGGTGTTCCTTTCTCCCCTGAAATTCCAACTGATTTAATTTTCCACTTGTAGGTGGGCGTAGCTCAGAGAAGATCAAGAAATATTGCACTTCCTCCACCCAATATGTGTAACAAATTAAAATCTGTTCAATAGTTGTTTGTGTACCTACAATAGGTAGGAGAGCTAAGAGCTGGGGATTCAAATATGACAAACACAGTTTAGGCTCCTAAGCAAATACACAAGCTCATCAATGGGATGGACAGGATCAAGTAGGCCTGAATGTGCTATAATCTGAGCACAGATCACATCCTCTTAATGCACAGAAGAAGAAATAACTCCAACAATGAGAGGACAATGGATGGGAGGGGCTGAGGCAAACTTTCTGAAGCCTGTAACATTTGAACTGATCTGGAAGGATGATTATAAAGAATTTTAATTGACAAAAAACAATGGTGGAAGAGACTGCATGAGACAGTGCAGGAACATTCTTACATTCTAATTATCGTCTTATATTCTCATAGGACATTATCTTTACCAATGTAAAATGATTAAACAAGGTAATAAACAAGGCACACAATGATCAAAAGAAAGGGGCTGTGGGGATGAACATTCTCCCTTTAATCACTAACGGTGTGGCCTAAACTGCAGGGATTAACACTGTTCTATAATACCCCTAATAATGCAATGGGGATAAGAAGAGCTTCTCCGTCATCTGGGCATTCTTTCTTGTTATTGTCACAAAGACTTAGGTGTATGGAAGACTGGGCCCAGTGACTGACAAAGCACTTGATACATGATTTTATTTTTATCATTATTAGCTCTACCAATAATAATTATATATAATTAATAGAAATAATTCCTTTCCCCAAAATCAAGATGACAAAATTTTAATATAAAATAAGGTTTTAAACTAAAGATATTTTTCTTCACTAGTAGAATTTTTGACTCAGCTTATAGCAAAAGGATTTAGAAAATTTAAGGAAATGTTTTAGCATATGTCAAATCACATGATGTAGTTGCCTACATATTCTTAGATTCTTTGCTCATTGATCCATATTTCCACAGAAAAGGTTCGCAAGCTCAGGGCATTATGCTAATGTCTAACACATTCCATCTCCATTATGGGACTTTAAAATTATTCCTAGTGACACAGTATCATTCTTTGGGTTATTAAGTAAAGCAAGGAATAATAAGAACAGGAAGAACACTATCTTGTTCACTAAATAAATGATCACTATCCTTTAAGAGCTATTAAACCAAATTCTGTCAGGTATTTTTTAAAGATGTTTTTATTCTT